CTTTGGAGCAAACTTGTGAAACACTACCATGCAATGTAAGACACAAGAGTACTTCTGAGAAGCAATGATGTAAAAGAAAAGATAATCATATTTTAATTCCCATGTTTTGCAGATTTTTCCATGCACAACAAAATCAACCACCCATCAGAAAAAAATGGTGGCAAATGGTACGTTTTCAATGGGCCAGTGACCAGACTGATATGTGGTCTTAAACAATTTCTTACAATAGTTTGTTTATGTAGGCGTCAAGGTTCGCATAGTTCATATTTTGATACTCTTCAGGTTCAAACACTTTTCTGCGTTTGCCATTTGTAAGTCACACCGTTTCAAATATTCAGCCCAGACCAAGTTATCATACCATCTAGAAAACTCATTAGTAATTGTTACTTGCAAACTGGATACTTTTGAAACTACTTTAGTTCATCGTCGAAAACGCTACATGCGACAACGACTTTGTGTCGAAGCGAGAAGAATTTGATTATCAAACATTGATGTCACATCGTTTGATAAAGCAAAAAGAAGAAAACCTTCTACTACGATATAAATAGTTTTGTTTTCTTCTACGATCAAGTTCGATCGCTTGAGCGATGATCTTTTTCATTCGCTTTTGATTTGACGGAATGAAGTCAAAAAAACCATTGATATTTGTCGATTCGGGCTGTTCTAGACTTGTAATCCTACGAAGAATAGGATGATTAACGTTGATTGGCTGTGTAAAAAAGTTATCCAATGAGATTGGTAAAATGGCAGAATGTAGACGATTTGCCAGGTGTTTTGCAGATGTTGTCTTTTCACAACTGAATGGACCAGCTATGCCAATGAGAGTAATCCTAAGACAATAAGAAAAATATTGACGTGAAGAATTTCAGTTAAAACTCAAATAAACATGATTCACATCGCATATGTGACTTTTTGAATTATGCTACTGAGGAATCATGAAAATGTATTGTTTCAGAATGAATCAATGTTTGATCATCGATGATTACCTAATTAGAGAAGCCCTCCATGTCAGAAACTTACTTGTGTATTAAAATAATGAATATTTCTGAAATTTTCACAGCATATTTTTCGATCTTAGTCAGTTCTCGATCGAAATTTATATGAGCACTCTAAGCTGTTCAAAAAGTGATTCAAAGATGAAGGATCAAAAGTCGGCATCTACGTATTCCATATTTTTCATTGAAATCTAATTATTCAGATTTGAGTTTGATCTCAATATGTAGGGAACACTTGCCGCTACAACTCGAGAAAACTCTTGTCACCGTTCGCTGTATCCTCTGTTGAGTTGTGAATTAAATTGATTAATGACTTGATGTTGTAAATCATTGCGATTACCACGGACAACAATATCAACACCATGCTCCTTACATTGTTGCACATTGGCTGTCAAGCTATGGACAGCCTTAAGTGGACGATGTTTCACTTCGGTTTATCTCCGAAATCTTTTCATTTCATCTAACATTTCAAGTCCGTTGAGAAGTCCTCGCTCTTATCGTCCACCACGTTCCATCATACTCGTGAGCACACACTGAATTTTGTCTGATTCCAAGTATCACTCACGAAGGGCGGTCAGTGCATCAGCCTTCTCATTGAAGCATACCACACGCCAGTTTTGAGCTCGGAGCAAACCTGTGCTTTGGTAGATATTTGGATACGAATCAATCCAAATGATGCTACTTTGTGGATCAATGGTCATGTTTGCGATAGCCAATGTACCAATTTAAATAGAAATTCTGTCTCTCTGCTTTTGTTACAATTTTTGACAATATGTGATCCAAAGCAGAACAAAATATAGACAGAGTTTTGTTCTTATTTTCAATACATCTCCACCTGTGTATTAACTTTGTGTGTTTTTTGTGGAGCCAATAAAAATCCACAAATGAAAGTAAACATTGTACGTAATTCTCCATCATATCAAGAAGTTTTGCTTCACAAATAAAAAAAAAATCATTCGAATACAGCATGTGTAATTGCATCACAGTTCAGAGAAAAAAGAAAGAGAAGGCATGTGCATCATTCAACTTTCTCTTTCTTTGTGCATGATTTTTCATTACTTTGGCGCAATAACCATCATTTTCTCCTATTTTCTGTCGTCCAAAATTCAACTGAATTCAATCTTATAGATAAAGATTTTATTGCGATTTTTTCATGCTATCACCAAATAACACCTACGCAAATAATGCTTCTCACAAAAGATAGTACCGGAATTTCGATCTGACTTCATATCTGTTGACGTCATACTGCAGTGTGCTTGTCAACGATTTTTCTTCTTTTCTTTGGGATATAAAGAAGCGTGTGACACCTCTTTCTTTTATTCTATGCAGGTGACTATGATTAGTGTAATTTACTGTTAGAAGAAGAATAAACGATAGAGGCGACTTTTTTTTTCTAAAATCCAATTTACGATGATCGATTTCAGATTCAATAAGACAATTTTCTTATTAGAATATTAATCTGTTTACAATGGAACGCAACTTGGATTACGAGCATCTTCATCAACTCTATTCAAAAAATTGTGAAACTATTTTTTGGCTTCGTTTTAAGGGAATTAAGTTTATGGGGTGTGGGTATGGATGAGGAGAGAGACCGATAACTACATTTTACTCAAGATTTAATAAAAGACAATGAATCACAATTATCAGTAGTCTATGAAGAGTGCGTGCTAGAATTCGAATAGCTGAGGAGGAATCCAAAGAAGTGTCCTTAATGTCGTCCCAGAGATAATACAAAAGTTCAGTAATGTTTTATATCGCTCTACTGAGTATAAACAGAATTTTTACTCATTCTGGCAGTGTACATCATTCGCTTTTGCGGTACTTGACTGTATGATAAATCTATTCGATCTATTTGTCTCTTTGATGAATATGTTAGAAGTTTGTTGCTATATACTTCAACATTTGATAATAATTACACTTTCCAAAAGAATATGATAAAGACTTTGATATGATAAAAGCAAGTATTATGAATCATTGAAGGATCTTAGACGTGTCTAGTGTTGTTGATAATTGAGAAAAAATCTTAAGTTAAATGAAATTCACAACCTCATCTGAATTTCATTTTTTCGAACACAAGATAACAATGGCGACAGATAAGGTTACATGTCTCGAAACTAACAATGACAACAGCAATGATGAGCAATCTAAAAGACACAGAAGTGCCTCAGAATTAAGCAACCTCTTCAATACGCGTCACATCCTGAAGGATGGCAAATGGGTACCAATCAACAGTATAGATTGCCAAGACCTGAAATCAACTTTGCCGAACATCGATTCCGATAATGTAATACCTCTTACGACGAATGCAATCGAGAACAAGAGCGAATCCCATGAATCAACTGTCCCTACTGGAGACGAGACATCGAATACGCACTCTAATAGTTCTCTTTCGCCTCCTAGAGTGCAGAATTGTTCATCTGACGTACGACAAGAAACGAAGACGAACGATTTGCAACCAACCGAACAAGTGGCAAAGAAAAGATCGAAATTCTGTACAATTTTATGAAACTGTTATTGTAACGATCTCGGTTGATTGGATTTCATACATGATACTTAACCTTCCCATATCATTCACTCGTATATTATACATTGTCCTTACCTTTCTATTCTTCTGTCGTTATCCTATGGTTCTCCTATATCGGCTCTCTTCTTGGCATTATCTCCTCTTTTTTCATCCTCTCTTCTTCTACTTGCGTATATAAGCGTGTGCTATGTATGTAAACGATGCGATTATATGATATGAAGGAATAGAATAAAGTGTAATACCATCAGCACTAATACCCCTTCTATCAAAAATCATCACAGTTATGAATTTTAAACAAGATTAAAACGTGATAATAACCGTTCAATAGTTCATTGAACAGTTATCGAGATTGTGCGAGTCAATCAAGAAAAAAATATAGACAACAGAGATTTTATGTTTGCTACAAAACTATAAAATAAAACTGCAACTCGATATTAATGTTGTAATAATATGCAAGAGGTTATAAAAGTCTAAAAAGAACTGTTTATCTCACCAGCAATTTACTTGATGTCATCTAAACTTAATGTATATCAATTACGAATAAACTAATCGTACTCTGTATAATATATATTAAATGTTAGCTTTGCAGCAATTAGGATCGTTACTCTTCATCAGTATAGCTTATCTGTATATTGATCTGACATATAGTAGTTCTTGGTATAATCCTTCATAGTCATCTTAAAATGTCTTCTAATATTTGGATGACATCATTAGTGGCGAAACCAGGATTTTAACGGTGGAGCGGCTCAGTTGGTCGAGCTCTACGTCGATGGTGGAGCTCGTAAAAGTGTTTAGCTGATGCCACTTCGCTCGGTGGTGGGGCTTAGCCCCACCTGGCCACCCCCTGATTACACCACTAGACATCATTCAAGTACTGGCTAGTGAAGTATGTGCCTTTTGCACATTAGTTTTTAGTGAGTCACTGACAATATATTGTTTCTCATGTTCAATATTAAAAATAAGACTTTCTACTGTAATGAAGAAGCCACATCGATTAGATATTTTCTAATCAATATTCATCAACAAGTTTCATTGAAATACTTTTTAAATTATGAGAATGTATGTATATATTATCCAGACTTGCAGCACTAGTATGGCATGTATGAAGACACTTGCTGTTCAATGTACACTCTGTCTTTTTTAAAGAAGTCTCGTCGCTTTCTTTGAATTTCAATGCCAACCACAACTAGAAACACATGAATGACTGGAAAGATTGTAACTGAGATAAAGTATGAGATCAATGAATTCATAACTTTAGTGATAAGTAATGTAAATGCCATGATGAAGCTTTTTTATTATAAAAATAGAATAACTATATATCAGAGAATACTGTTAATTACGACTGAAGAAAAGATAAGCAAACTAAAATTACAAACTCATCTTTTATTCAGTCGTTATAGTATTTTTTTATCATACAACAGATGAAAATATGGTTTTTCTCTTGTCAATATAGACTTGTCTACATAGAACAGTATATTTATCTATTTATTCAGCTCAGCATGATCCTCTATCAGAGTTATATCATCATGTTCTTCTCCGTCATCAAATGATCGATTGCGTGTCTCCGGTAAAGTAGTAATTAGACCAGCTAAAAGTAGAGTCAATCCAGCATAGACATAAAATGCAATATGTCTATATTTGTCGCCGACTGCAGTATCAACGATTGGTGCTAAGATCGATCCAAAACTGCCAATAAATACAAATATGGCATTTGCCAAACCGCGCATCGATGTTGGAAAAAGTTCAGGAACATAAAGCCATGAAACTGCTACAGCTCCACTAATGGCCATTTTACCTATTTGAGAAATAGCAGTACCGATAACAGGATAAGAATCTATAGTAAATGGTATCATAAGTACACACATTGATGTTAATAATGCAAATGTAATCAATGAATATTTTCGTCCTAATGGTGTTATAACTACAAGCCCTGCGACCAAATATCCAAGACTTTCGACGGCAGCTCCAATAATAAAATTCGTGTAAGGACTAACTGCTTCATTCATTGCTCCAAGTCCGTACGAAATTTGGGTGTATAATAACATAGTAACAAATTCAATAAAACCACTAATAACTAATTTAGGCAAGTATCGTAGAATTTTTTCTCGCTTTCTTCGGTTTACAGCATTATTAATCTTTTTCGACACAATACTATCTTCTATTAATTTAGTATAATCTCGATACCATTCAGTTTCCTCACGTCCATTCGTTTTGGCAATTTTTCTTAGAGCATTTTCAAGTTGATCGTATTTCTTTCGACTTAAAAGCCAATAGGGCGATTCAGGAATGAAATAGAGATAGGGAACTGTAAGAAGAAAATAGGCACTCGTTAGCCATTTTAGATTGAGCCAATCACGCGATACAAAGGCAAAAGCAGTGAATAAACATTCACCGATCGGATACGCAACCAAAGAAAGACCAGCAGCAAAACTGGTATGTGAAGATGATGTTAGTTCCATTATAAGTAGAAAAGCTATGCCATAACCATCAATACCTGATACAAGCTGATTGATAATCAAGAGAATAAACCTAGAGCAATTTTAGTTTATGTATTATTTTCGCTTTACACTTAGTCATAATTATTTGTCTTATTTACTTCGTATTAACGTCCATTTTGACAAATTGAAGGAGTACTTGAGTAATACCAGTAATAATATAAAGTCCAAGACTCAAAATTTGTAGGATTCTTCTTCGTCCAATTCTATCACTAATCGGTCCAGTAACTAAAACTGTGAATCTATAGAAGAAAAACGAAATTTGATTATGCAAAATCAAATAATAAGAATATTTCTCTTACGTTCCAATTTGATAGACTGTCGAAAGCCATGTTTTTTTCATAGCATTACTACAAATGAAATTTGCTTCTTCTGTAAATGTTCTTCCGTAAACACTTCGATCATAGACAAAATTCTGGCAAGATGTTCCATTAATATTTTCGCATTTCGACGACGGCAATAGATATGCATCGATCAAAGCTTGATGGTTAGCATTGATTGATTTATATTGATCATCATCAGACCAAATATTTGACGGTAGTCGACATCGAAAAGCGGGTTCAGCAAGTCCAAAAACATAGTAGAATCCAGTAATGCCACTGCTAAAGTTGATAATGCACAAAAAGAAAAAATGAATCCATTGATATCGACCGAAATCACCACAACGTCTGAGCACGTTTTCCAAAGTGAGTTCATCCATTGTAATACTAACTGTTGTGGTGGATTATTGTATTTTGACTAAGAATAGTTAAGTCGATTTCTTTTATTTATCATAATCTAATTCATAGAATATCACATGTTGATCTAAACTTTGTTTTCGTCTTAGGCACACAATCACAATATGTTTACAGGTGATTTTGAAACCCTAGTATATTTCATAGGTCACATGTTTTATTTATTAAGACCGATATTTACCGTCAAATATCTGTTTGCTTTCTGTTCTTCTTTAAAAATCTATTTTTACGTTCGCTTTAATCGATATTCACTCATATCTTTCCTCATTATCATTCGATCCTAGTTTAAAAAGAAAAGAAATAAACCATGCACTTTTTAAGTGTCAAAAGTACAACTATATGTTGAAGTCGCTGGACTCTAAAGGAGCTGAATTGCTAAAGGCTACCTACTTTTTCTTAGTCTTGTTGATAACGCCGTTGTTTTTTTGCTTTCTAATAACTTACTGAGAGCTCTGAGATTCTGATTTCAATCTCTGATGATCCTCAAAGTTTGCCATCGCTGTAAAAAAGTAAAAACAAAAGGAAAGAAAAAATTGTCGAAGATTCTATTCAATTCAATTATTTATTTTCATTTGATCTACCTGCTATTTTCAAAAAACAATAGCAAGAAGCATCCTATGAAATAGATTTGTATGCTCGAAAGTAACTGTAGGCTTAAAATGTATCTGATCTTTGACAAATCCTAGATAAGAACAAATGTAAATAACAGCTAATCCAGTATGAGAGTCCTTCTATATGCAATTTTTTTATTATATTTCATTCTTTTCTTTGTTTAAATCTATCAAAAAAAAATCAATACCATTTTTGCATAGCCAATGTTCTATCAAATAAGCTATTAGAGAATAAAGAATACATTATAGATCGAAATTAATTACAAACAGTAAAAAAAGAACAACGAATTTTATAATTGAGAATAGTTTGCTAGCAAATCATTTTAATACATGAAAATCTAATTGATTTCATAATTATAAGTCAAACACAAGGAACGAGCTCTGGTGTAATTTCGATTCTTTGAGTGTGAGTGTTGGTATGAATATTCATTTCATTCACATATACATTCTTTCAATATATTCTTTCTCGAAACCTATTTCAATCATACTAACTTAGTGGCATAGAAGGAATAACTGACCGAACTCGACAGATAATTACTGTTGATTCTTTGTCGAAAATAGTTTCAATATACTTTTCGAAAAATTGATTAAAGCATGTTCATCTATACAAAAGAAATAATTGACAGAAAGAATGAATTCACTTTTATTTTTTGGATCGATTAATACTGTATTAAAGTGGTAAGCTTTTAGCAAGCAAGAAACAACGAAATCGATTCACCTTTGATTCAAATTTTGATACATTTCGATTCGCTCCGATTTAAGCGATTCGCGATTTGAAAGCTCTGCCCTTGGCTCTTAGTCGTTTTTTTTAATCAGATCGAAGTAGACTAAAAAAATTACGTTTTGATCTGTTATATGCTAAAAATATTTTTGTGAAGAGAAGTTTACCAAATCGAATATTTGAGGAAACTTTTCGATATGATTAAAAACAGTAAGTCATATATCTATACGCTATCGAGAACAACGTTCAATTTAATCATGATATGATTGTAAATTGGAAAAATCGCTTTGCATGACAACAATTAGAATCGTTTATTTCGATTTAATTATTATTATGATTTTAATCGATTATACCATTAGTTAATCATTTTATTGCAATTGTGAAATTTTAAAGTGTATATATTGATATGCGGACTTCAAAAAAAAGATTAAGCTACTTGTGTAAGGGAATTGTTAAAAATTGGATCTTAATGAATTAAAACATCTTAATCAGTTTAAAATCCAAACGAAATCAATTGAGTTTTGTCTTAGTTCGCTTTTTATTTATATGAATATTCAATTCATACTTGTTTTCCTATTTTGCATGCATCTGTCTGTATGCTCGACAAAAGAATCAGTGGTGTTTTCATCTATCGATGCAGATCTCTATATGTTTAGAATCTATTCTTTATGGTTTATTTGACATACTAGAAGTATGTATGTTGTCGACATAAGAATACACGCACAAGACTTATCCATAGTTTTTTCTCTCACAAATGTTTATAGATCAGTAAAAAAACAAATGAACACGTCAAAAATAGAGATAGAGCTCATGTATAACAATAAGACTAGTTGAACAAATAAATTTGCATATAAAAGACGCTGTCTGAAATATTTATCATTCACTTCAAGAAAAAACCAGTACTGGAATCATGCTTAATTTGAATTTTATTCTCGACCTTCTTAATAAACTCTTTGACAATGTCAAAGTCCTCTACTAGCTATGTTGGGCTATAATTTAAAGTATTCGATAAAAATAGTAAAACAAGTGTGAGCAGATTCATTCAAGCATTAAAATATGTAATCAGCAGATTTTACTTGTTATTCGTTATTCTAGTTTGAAAGATTTAGTTTATCCTAGGTATATTTATATTCAGCAATTCATGTTAAAACTTCCTAATACCTCAGAAAATGTAGTCCATAGGACCAACCTCTGTTAAGAGTCAATTAGACCCATCGACTCATATTTAATCGTAAAATATTATCACAATTGATGACTCACACTTTGGTATCTGCGTTCCTTAGTGAATGACTATGATTGAAGATTAGAAATTACAGACGATTGTCAGATCATTTTTTTTGGCTGTATTTATTTAATTAACCAATCCAGATAAGAATCGAGTAGCAACTTTTGAAATCATAATTAAAACTTTTCTCAGCGTTTCGCACGATTGCAAATGTAGCTGGTACGTGATGTTGCAGCCAGCCGATCAATTCGTCTTCTTTTGATGACGACTGATTATGTTCGTCAGTGTTCCAAGGATCATCTTGACACAAGACATTCAGTAATCGAAGTTGTGTCATTGCGTTGATCAAATCAAGAATACTCAATCGATTTTCGACAGCAATACAAAGTACTTGACATTGAAGAGCCCATGATGAACGAATCAATGCAACACATTGCTCAGGATTGTAACATTGATCAATGTTCTGTACGTCGAGTCGACGAACTGATGAATTCGAATATTCAATAGGTGTTATTCGTGCTGAAGTCCGTGACCAACAACGGAATATTAAAGAATAGAGAAGAGGTGCTCGATCGAGCAATGCTTGCAGTTCTGCATAATAATCGAAATCATGATTGCTATCATAAGGTGCAACTTCGAGCGAGACCAATTGATCGAATCGCGGGATGATCGACATAAAAGTTGCATCTACCGGAAAATATATACCAAGATGACGAATGTTCATAAAACGAAATTGAGATGTGAATGGATTGTTTGACGGTGGAGTAATTGCATACATAAGGCTACGAACAAGTTCAAAGATTGTATTGTTGTCAGGATTAGAGCCCTGCAGGGTGCCCATAACCTGTTCTGCCCTGCCCTGCCCTGCCAGAACAGGACAGGGCAGGTTGCAAAAGTAGCAGGGCAGGGCATGGTCAGGTTACGAAATTTTTACAAGGCAGGTTACAGGGCAGCCCTGTCATAACCTGTTAACCTGCTATTAATTTATCGAATCAAACATTATAGACATCTTTTGAAAAATTTTATACGAAGAAGAATATCGAAGCATAATACAACATAAAGTAGAAGAATTGATATACGAAGTCGATGAAAAGTTATGAATTTTTTTGTAATATCAAATATAGCAGGGCAGGGCAGGGCAGGTTACAGGTTATGAAAAAAAGTCTCAGGGCAGGACAGGGCAGGGTACGCGAAAAAATTCACAGGGCAGGACAGGATTAGGTTGCAGAATTTTTCCAGGGCAGGTTACAGGTTACGAACATACTGCACCCTGCAGCCCTCTAGTTGGGTGTGGGTGTGGGTGTGGGTGTGGGTGTGGGTGTCGGTGTGGGCGTCAGTGTGAATGAGAAGAACACTAATACCCACACCCCACAGCCTCAAGAATACCCAACTCATCTGCTACACAGTAAACAGAGAGTTATCGATCACGCATTACCATAGGTTCCACGGCTTCAATGTTTCTTTCAATTAACCTTAAAAGCGGTAAATTGTGGAAAAAATACACGTTCCACACGATAGTGTAAACCCAATGGCTCACGCACATAATTTAGATATAGCTGCACGAACTTTCCAGACAACCAGATATATAATTCATGTATATTTTTATTATTTGTCTTAATTCGAGTTAACATCAATGAATATTAATGTGAATGCCAAATATTTTTATTCATTTGGAAAATATTCGATGTAAAACAATAACAATAAATTTGTTATCGGTATATTCTTTTTCTAATCAGACATTGATTTTTGAACATTTATATGAAAATATTTCAATATCTTTGTACACAGAAATATATTCGACTATTTTCGAATTGAAATTCGAATATGTTAATTAAAACAAAAATATATCAATAAAATCATCGTTTTTATTTTGCTACAATATAATTTTTTTCAACATAATATGTCAAACTATACAAACAAAACCAATATTGATCTATTACATAGCAAAATCATTTCACTCTTGAAAAAAGAACAAAGAAGCATAAGATTTGTTCAATTTATCTTTATTCAAAAATTACAAAAAACGTTCTAGACGATTAAAAAAAAACTGTTTTAATTGTCGAAAGAATTGATTAATGAATAAAGAAAAAGATAAGTATCGATTATTTTGTAATACATCTCAAATATATATTGCTTATTTAAAATATGCTAAATTATTATTTTAAAGTAAAAAGAATATTTTACAAAATTGAAATAAATATAAAGTTTTTTTTTTGAAGTTTTTGTTAATATTCAAATTGAAAAAATTTATGTGATAATATTTCAACATGATTATTTTCATCAGTTGATTCTTGAAGTGTTTCATTTATGAGAGGTGATCCATCTAGTAACCAAGTTCGAATAATTTGTTTATCTTGATTAAAAACATGTTCAAGAACTCCATGTTGATATGTCGATTTCATTAATGCACATGTTTCAACATTTTCTTCTGTTAATGGTTCTCCATTCTATTATAAATAGAAATATTTATTTAAATAAAATATTATTTTATGAATACAATTCAAATAACTTACCTCTGGAATAGTCCATCGTGAAGCACGAAAAGCAGATAATAAATCATTTGGTTTTCCTTGAAATAAGTCTCGTAAAAGTTTTTCTGATCCATCAGGTAATTTAAGTGTAATATCAGATTGGATTTGTTCAGATAATTGACGACGTTTAACAACAATTGAAAGCATATCATTAACAGTTGATGGTGCTAATGAAAGTATCCATCGAGTTATTATTGAAAGTTCATCGGCATTGAATACCTAATCAATTTTTTAAAAGTGTTTTTTAGATGATTTTATTCAAATAACAATATTAAAATTAGTTTTTTATTTATAGAATATTCTCAATAAATAAACAGCCAAAACAATTTTTGATTATGTTAAAAATATGTCGAATGCATAATAATGTATGATATTTTAGCTTTTTAGTCCTTCTGTATTTAGTATAACTGATAGTTTTTGAAAATCAATCCTATAATCTTTCATTTTGTAGGCATTTTTACAATATCTTTCTATATTTCTAAAAAATCACCATTATTATGAATGTAGGGATATATTCTATAAAAACAAAACTTCAGCATTTGTGTAAATGTAACTACTTAGGGTCAATAAGCTAATACATAGATAATATAGAGACTATAGATATGCATATTATTCGTTTTTTTATATTCGTCGATATGATCAATAAGTAGTTACTTTACTTATAAAATAAGGAACAACAAAAACAAACCAACAAAACAATTTTCATTGGTGTCAATAAAACTTTTTATCGGACCTTTTCTTATAGCAAAGGAATTATTTGTTTTTTAGCATGTTTTATGTATGATTACATGAGATACTATTCAAGTTGATTTGTACACTATTTTACTAATTCAACTAGAGGTGAATAAGCAAAAAAATTTAGTCGTTTTTCTGTCTATCTTTGAGCATGTTTTAACTATTTTTACTTGAAAATGTGAATAAAAATAGTTTCTCTATTACAAAGTTGAATAATGAGTTTACTTTATATGTTACATCGTTGTAAACGTCTGCTCTTCTTGAACTAAAGTAGTTTTCGAAGATGGATTCAAAAAAGAACCTATTTATCGTTGTCTACAGTGAGTTCTTAGTAAGTTTTAAGTGAATAATCTTGATTCCTGCATAGAAACGCGTTTCCAGAAAACATGTATACTCTATAATATGACAACTAAAAGAATATCAAATATATTCTTTCCAAGCATGATATCTAAAGTTGACAAAAAAAAAGTGATATAATAAAACAGGTCGAAAATGTCGCGGAACTCTTTTCTAACACCGTATCTTACTCTCACCCGTATTGCATTAACTTTCTGTTATACTTGTAGATAGATGGATCATGGAAATTGACGTGTATCATTCCTATATGTTAATAGAGTGACGCTAGAAAATTAGTTGATTTCATTATAAAGACAGTTACAAACAAATAAGATTTTTGTCTTATGAATCTCATTTGGCGGCTGAATGATAAAAGAAAATGATATCAATCACCATTTATGGTTTAAGCAAAGATGATGAGTTTTTGAAATGTTCACTCGTTAATTAATAAACTATAAACAGTTTGAGAGAATTTAAAGAATCATGACAAATAAAAGATGTTTCGAGACTGTTTAGAAGAATTCTCTATCGAATCGCTTTTCTTCTACGCTGAACTTATTTTATAAACATGTATCTGTCATAAATCAATCGAGCTAAAGCTAATCATATTTTGAAGGCGACTTATTTGACATATATTTGGAATAGTTTCAGCTTATCAATTAATAATAATAACAAGCAGATGACAGATACAACTTATTTCGTTAATAATAACGATCAATGGACCATTTGAAAATTAATATGAGATTAAAATTCATTCAGTTTATTATGCGATTGCAAGAATTTCGACTAGAGAAGAATTTTTTGCGAAAATAAATTACTCTTATCAAGTTGTATTTAATATAATTAATTAAAACTTGATGTGTACACAGTTACTGTGTAACATGATTATTATCTCAAAATAGATCTTTATTAAGCTAAAAAATTTCAATAGAATAGTATCACCTTGACTTTAATCACTTAATCATTTAATTTAAAATAAATGGAAGTCAGCTAAATGCTAAATAAATGATTTATTGACCCGTTTATCATGAATAATAAAAAATGGAGTGTTACTTGTTTGCTGTTTTTTATTAATATCAATGATTAAGTGATCAGTCAATGGTAACCAAAAATTTACTCATTGCATTGGCTACAATGTGAGTGTAAGTCTTGCTCTATATGCTTTAGACCCATGCACAAGCAGCCTCATACTTTCGAATTGTCAGAACGCCTACTCATTTTCAAGTTCGGTTAAGAAAATTTTTTTATTAAAAACTTATTTTTATTTATCCTTATCGTTACATTTATTAAGGTTTGCTTTATGTGAGAAATGTCAATTGAGTGATTGTCATTGTAATGAGATTTTTATTTCTTTTTTTCTAAATATCATTTATGTTCAGTATGCTTACGAAAGACTCATAGATATTCTTAAGGACTAGTGTATCTTTTATTGTAAAGAATGAACTGTCATGACCTGTGACAACTCTGAATGATTACAATTATAAATCAGATTATTAAAAATCAAAACCGTGATCATAGCAACAGAACTCGACTGAATATGTTAAACGGATTGAGAATACATCCTATTCGGCGATGTTGCACATTGCTGGAATCAGTTCCGCCCAGGAATCGATTCCATCCAATTCCACAATTCCGGTCACACGGACTTCAATCCGATTCCGGAATCCAACCAATCATTTCTCAACAATTCCGGAAACATTTCCAATAATACCATCTAATTCGGGAGCTCCGGGAATTCCATCAAGCAGGAATCGCAACGAATTAGCCGGAATTGCATGCAATTCCATGTAATTCCGTTCAATTCCGGAATCATCTATGCGATGCATTACTGCAATACCTCACTTCTAGTGTATGCATGCAATTCCCAAACGGAATTCCGGGAATCGCTTCAAGGAGGAATTAGACAGAATTCCATGGAATTCCATGGAATTCCGTTCGATTCCGGAATCATGTATGCGTTGCATTAATATCATCGCTCACTTCTAGTGTATGCATGCAATTCCCAAACGGAATTCCGGGAATCTCTTCAAGGAGAAATTAGACGGAATTCCATGCAATTCCATGAAATTCCGTTCCATTCCGGAATCATTCATTCGTTCCATTAATACCATGGCTCACTTCTAGTGTATGCATGCAATTCCCAAACGGACTTCCGGGAATCGCTTGAAGGAGGAATTGGACGGAATTAGAC